CTCCTCCCCCTTCATGCTCCCCCGTCATGGCAGCCCCTCCTCTCCCTTCATGATCTCCCGTCATGGCAGCCCCTCCTCTCCCTTCATGATCTCCCCTCATGGTTGCCCCTTCTTTCCCCTCATGATCTCCTCTCACAGTGGCCCCTCATAACTCATGGCTACCTCTTTTCTCCACTGATGATCTCCACGCATGGCCGCCCCTTCTTTCTCCTCACAATCTCCCCTCATGGCTGCCCCTCCTCTCCCTTCATGATCTCCCCTCATGGTTGCCCCTTCTTTCCCCTCATGATCTCCTCTCACAGTGGCCCCTCATAACTCATGGCTACCTCTTTTCTCCACTGATGATCTCCACGCATGGCCGCCCCTTCTTTCTCCTCACAATCTCCCCTCATGGCTGCCCCTCCTCTCCCTTCATGATCTCCCCTCATGGTTGCCCCTTCTTTCCCCTCATGATCTCCTCTCACAGTGGCCCCTCATAACTCATGGCTACCTCTTTTCTCCACTGATGATCTCCACGCATGGCCGCCCCTTCTTTCTCCTCACAATCTCCCCTCATGGCTGCCCCTCCTCTCCCTTCATGATCTCCCCTCATGGTTGCCCCTTCTTTCCCCTCATGATCTCCTCTCACAGTGGCCCCTCATAACTCATGGCTACCTCTTTTCTCCACTGATGATCTCCACGCATGGCCGCCCCTTCTTTCTCCTCACAATCTCCCCTCATGGCTGCCCCTCCTCTCCCCTCATGATCTTCCCTCACAATGGTCCTGCGTCCCTCATGGCTTCCCCTCCTCTACCCTCACTATCTCCCCTTATGCAAACCCCTCCTTTCCCCTTATGATCTCCTCTCATGGCCAGCTCTTCTTTTGCCTTACAATCTTCCCTCATAACCTCCTTTCCTCTCCCCTCACAATATCCCGTCACCCCTCATGGTTACCCCTCTTCTCCCCTGATGATCTTCCCTCATGGCTGCCCCTCCTCTCCCCTCACTATCTCCCCGCATGACCACACCTTTTTTCCCTCATTATTTCCCCTCATAGCTGCCCTTCCTTTCCTCTCACCATCTCCACTCACGGCTGCCCCTGCTCTCCCCTCACCGATCTTCAAACATTATTTTAAGATATTATGGTGTGACTAACAGGAAGGATTAAATCTCACTCTGCAGAGTACTTGAGTACAGCGGTAAATGCTGCTGGCAGCCAACATTGTGAAGATGCCTAAAAAGGATCTGTAGTTGCCTCCAAGTCTAGTGTTACATCTATTATTTTGTGGCCCATCATGTGACTCATGGTTTCACAGACATTTAGCATTTGCTAGCTGTAAATGAAAACCCCATAGCTTTTAACACAAAGACAGATCTGATGGCGTGCAGCTTTCTCTGAAGAAGCCACACTGAGCTGCATGCAGACATGACCTGGCACAGCTGGCTGTGTCCCCCACTACCTGTCATGGCCCTCCCCACTCCCTGCCAGCACCAGCACACTGCGGCTTCTCTGTATTGCCCCCAGACATGGTGTATTTCATGTGGTTCAGTGTTTATCGCATCCAGCTCTGCTCTGTTCCCCGCTCTGGCTGTTCAGCTAGTGGCAACTGTGCACAGGGAGAGTATTTGCATCAAGTTAGAGACCTTGGGTTTATGTTTCTTCTTACAAAAGGTGGCAACCTTACACACCACCCTGAACAAGTCTGTGACCACCAGCTCCTTGCTGTCTCAAGTGTTTCAGGGTTGCGGTAGAAACTGGGATTCTCCAGACCCAAAGTAGAATGAATGTCTTCATATTATTACCTATGCAGTAAAAAGTTTTCAGCAAAGGAAATGACCAGCTGTCACTGGCATGCCATACTAGTATAGATGTGATAAGCCAAGAACTGAAAAAATATGTGAGTGGCTTTTTGGTAGTCACACTTCGGTAAGGGTATGCACTGTATGCACACTGCGAAAGGTAAGTCAGAGGTACAACTCACCATCAAAAGACTGCAGTAGCTGCATTCAGTAACGACAACTCAGCCAACCTTATTTTAAGCATGTAACTGATGTGAGCTCTGGCAGTGACTCTTACTGAGTTCAGAGGGAGATCAGCACGGCAAGGACCTCAATTAGAGGCTCCAGTTCAGTGTGAAAGTTTTGTGGTCTGAATATAGGGTAGGCTGTCAGCAAACATATTTTATAACATCTGGAGCCTGATGTCTAAACAGAGAAAGGACAAGCACATACCTGAGTGTGAGCAGTACTCGTTCCCAAGTACTCCTCCCCAGGTACAAAGCACACAGACGATGGGAGCTGAAAACCCAGTTCTGTTGTTTTCAGGGGAAAAGATCAACTTCAAGCCAAAATTACACTCAAATTCTATTTGCTTGGGAATAACAACAGACTCTATACATCTGCTAATGTCCCAGTCACAAAAGGGTAACAAAGACTCTCACCGTATGCGCCTAGGATGTACTCAGTTTAGGAGATCATTGATGGTGAAACTCAAGAAAGATTAGGTGCATACAAACAAGGTAAGGTGAAATACCCAGACTACGGACTGCATGTAAGCACTTTCTGAAGTTAAAAAAATGAATATATTAAAATATTCTAGAAAGACTTAAACTTCTGAAACACTATCAAGACATTAAAAGGAGACTAAGTGGTAAACAAATATATTAAATGAGTCTGATTTTATTAAAGAAATTATGAGACAATTTTACAGGACTGACTTAAAATTCATATTGTGCATTTCAGGCTTTTACTAATATGAATAACTCATATTACTGAATATTGAATATACACTGTATATATAATGAACATTTAGTAACCTACTGTTCTTCATTTCTAGAGCTGCTGTCTGTAGAATCTGTTACTGTGACTGATCTTCAGATAGAAGTTTTATTGTACAAAAATATGGGTTAAATATCTTGCCTTTTAAGATATATTTAAATGTTTTCCAAAACCATGAATAGAAAAAGCCATATACCAATGGATTGCAGAAAGAATTTAAATACCCAAGGCAGTTTAGAGTATCAAACAAAGGTAAAGGAGTAGAGAAATTTAAAAACGGATCAATTAAGATTGTTAAAAAACAAGGAAACCAGCATATTAAGAAACCCAGCATAACTATACTCAAAGTCTTGGCAGCTTTCCTATCTTTATTCCTAGAAAGATAATTTTTCTTATCCTTTGTGTGTCTTTGTGCTTGGCTCAACTCACATGTGTGCCTTTGGGATACTGTAAAAATTTTAACATAAATCCCTATCATTATACAAGCAGGAGCAAATAAACCAACTGTGAATAAAATAGTTCCCCATAGTTTGTTGAACATAATAGGGCATGAGCTTGACCATTTAACCAGTATTTCATAGCCCTCAATCCCAGAAGCATAAGCTTCTGAGAAAACCACACCAAAAGCAAAAGCAGCAGGTGCTGACCAACACACTACTAGGACTTGTTTTATGGTGATGACAGTCATGGTGCTGGTGTAATGCAGAGGGTTGCAGATTGCATAAAACTGATCCACAGCAATGGAACAAAGATGGAAAATGGAAACTAAGCAGAGCAACAGGTCAAAACTGTACTGAACTTTGCAGAATGTCATCCCAAAATGCCAGCAGTTCTCCACAGACCTTACCATGCTGTAGGGCATAATGGCAAAGCCCAGCAGAAAATCAGTGACAGCCATGGATAGGATGAGGAAATTGGTCGGAGAATAGAGCTGCTTGAAATATGAGATAGAAATGATTATGGCCAGACTCCCTAAGATGGTGAGAATGAAGACTGCTCTTATGAATAGATACATTACCCCTCATACACCTGATGACCTAAAGGTCTCAGGACAGGATCTATTTCCAAACTCAGAGCAATCAGTCAAATCCCTTGAGTTATTTGAAGAAAGTGTAATCAATCCTTTATTAGACTTCTCTACTGGAGATGCTGTTCCATAGGCAGATTTATTTTCACAAGTTTCTGTAAGATTCCAAATGCTAACATGAGAATACAAGATAAAGTAAGTCAAGAGCATGGATTAAATTACTAAGTGAAATGTAGTAATTCTAAGGCAAACTTTTTCTTGGCTTAAACAAGGACCAAATGCAACCAATTATTTTTCTGAAATGGTACATAAAATCTGATAACTGAAAACTACTATAAAATTCATTGCAAATAATATTTAAAACAAAGTAGCTGAAAGTAAACTTAATTACATCTTAAATTAACTAAATTGTATGATAACATCCATTTTATATTGTGCATTCTATTGTATCTGCAGCATTTTGTAAAATACTGTTCTTGCATTTTATATACATCATAACATTAGTAGTTTTAAAGCATCAGAAGAAAAAGATGCATAGACAAGAAACACTCAAGTCACTTCAGTCTGTAAATACTATATAGGAGTTATTTGTCTCTTAAATCTTAGAATATTGATCTTTTTTGTATAGGAGAAATGTTATACAGGCTGACACACCTCAGGTTTCTTGGAGATTTCAGTTAATGAGCCATTCATCTAAAATGCTCCTCTTAAGAGTCACAAATCAGCTGACAAAACCCCCTTTCCCAAATTTTCTATGATGCTAAACTCACCTGCTGTGGATTATGAAGTACCAGCTATGAATGCATCTAATGAAAATTGGTTGTAAAATTGTAAAAAAAAAAATACAAAAAAATA